ACACTGAAAGAAAAACCTCGATTCTTAAACTTCAAAGGAAAATATCCCATCTACAACCTCCAAGGCTGAGTAAGGTTTTTCTAATGCACCATGAGCAAGGAATAAAAAGTAACTAAGTACAACTCAAGAGTCTTGGAAAAAAAAACAAAAACAAAAACAAAAACTCACACTTGTAGTTATTGTATTTAGGTATATGTTTCACAACATGCAGTTAAAACAATAATAAAACTATATTGAAGTTAACATGCTCACTCCACTGATTAAATGCTGTATTAATATTAGTTAAGTTTAAGTTTATATGGAAAGTTAACTGATTAGTTAAAATATCTCATTGCAACATATGCTTATTTTGATAAAATTGGAGCACAGGAAAAAAATCAAAACCGAGAATGTTTCTCTTGTACTTAAAGACAGTCAGAAAACAACGTTGCCACTGAGAGGTTGAAAGATACGATATGGAGACAAAAGTTTGACAAACTATTATTCCCAGTAAGGAAGAAAAAAAAAGGGGGGGGGGAGAAGAAAAAGAGAACAGCTGTATGCCTTCTCTGCATAAAAGAAAATAATTCTTATTCTACTGTTAAAAATGTGTTTCTCTGATGTCTTATATTCTTTTCACTAAAAAAGTTGTGTAAGAGTCAAACACGTTCAGAACACATAAATCACAGAAATCTACCCAATAAACAAAGATTACACCATCATAATCTCTGACCATGGACTTGTGAAGAATAAACTAGCTGCTTTTTCCAAGATTCAGTGGCACTTTGCCGCTGCGTAGCAGAGAGGTTGTGAGCCCCCAAAACAACACAGAGGGAGCACACACATATTTTGCGGGAATAGTGAACTGCCTGCTGGAGGATGAGGTCTGACTTCCTGGAGCTGATTCTTGTCAACTGATATTTACATATTTACTTTTTATTTACATATTTACCAGATATATTTACTTCCTTCCAATGTCACAATGCTCCTTCCAGCAAGAAAAAATAGCAGGATCACAGGATAAAAATGTCCACGAAATGGCTTTATATTTAATCCAATTCTTATTCATTATCAGTAATAATTATTCCTAGCAAACAGGGGAGAGACTTTCCAAAGCACATACCACAGACAGGCTTGCAAATTAATTGAAGTATTTTGTAAAATTGTTTCTTCATTAAGTGGTAGCATTCCCCAAACATACAGTTTACTATAACATCTGGATCTTTTCATCATCCCATTACTCCCTTTACTATTCTTGAAATATCCTTATAACAGGAAAACGTTTTCAAAACATGCTCTGGCATGTTCAAGCCCAAAGCTCACCACTGCAATTCAGCTATTTGAAATCTACACCAGCTCTTGTTTCCACCATCAAATGTACTAGCATGTCCAGCTTAATTTAAAATTTCCCCAACACTCCTGCTTGGCATTCCCACTGCAACACAAATTACTGATGCCCTAAAAAAAAATAAAAACAAAAAGATACCTCAAACCCCATGACATTTGGCTTATTTTAAATATCCTCTCCTCAAAATCATCTCTCTCCCGGTCAACCATCAGTGGTTCTAACATTGCATAGTAGCTATGACCCCTACATTTGAGGTGGCATGATCAAAGGAGCCCTGGCCAGACTTGGAAAAACACTTCCACTGAGAATGGACATACTGCCTGTCAAAGGTTATTCCCACTGCGTACAGGGAGCAGCTCATATTACTCCAGCGTAACATGAAAGTGCAAAATCTAGCCGCAGTAATCCACATACATGTTTTTCTTTCCAAAAAGGGCATATGGGAGACACTGACTGGAACAGAACATCCGTATTATCATTTGAAGGGAGGGGATGGATGGGCAAGGGGGGAAAGCTTCCCTAATCAATCCAGCTGTAGGAATCAGCCTCTTAAAAAAAAAAAAAAAAAAAAAAAGCACCTTTAAAAATTCTGCCTCTTACTACAGCAATTATTTCTTTTCAGCTGCTTTCCTCTCCTTTAGCTAAAAATTTATATATGCAAATATACATCTACATGTAGATAATCACACACACACACACACGGTCAGACTTTACACTCTGCGGAAGACAAAATAACTTTGGAGGCGTAAATCTTAATGTCAATGACAGGAAGGCTTTGGTGAACCATTACCATAAATCTGACAAACGCTAATTTGATGGGTGGCTGTATCTGTCTGCTGCAAGACCAGTCTAGACAGTCTATTGAGAAATCCTAAAACACAACTGTTTGTTCCCTGTAACACCATCTGGATATGGCAATAAGAGCCGACCCAGTGCCATTCACACATGGATCAAAGCGCATGCTAATGCCATCATGAAGTCATACACATAAAAAATTCAATCTGAGAACTCTATGCAATTTTCCTAAGTCCTCAGTGAAGAAACCTCAGTCTTAGCACAACTCAAGCTAAGTGCATGAAGAGGGGGAGAGAGTGGAAAAAAAGAAGAGAATATTTAATGAGCTTGGCCTTCCCGAGGAATGTTAGGCCACCCATTGTATTGGAAAAGGCTCATGTCACACTTCAGTCATGGCACCCATCAGGGTGCCCCTTTACAAAAATTGATCCCGAGGTTTTTGTAATTACCTGTTTCAAACAGAAAGAGTGCCCAGAAATACGAGAAGGTTTCTGAGGTGCAAGTCTTGCATTTTCTTATTTTAAGACAGAGCTGGCAGAATTTGCAATATTGCAGACAATATTGAAAACCCCTCTCTCATTAAACTGCACCATGGCACTAGATCAAAGCACCAAGGGCCCCCTATTGAACTTCTCTAAATATTACAAACATAAGAGCAAGTCTGGCTACGCAGAAACTAAAAGTAAAGCCAATTTTTTTCCCCCATCTCCAAGATACAAAACATGGCTTCCCATGATACAGCTTAAAAAGGTACAAAAAGTACTATATAGTCATACCACAAACTTTAAATTGACAACCACTCCAAAAAAAATAAAATCAAAGATTACCCAGATATTTTCCTGTGTAACTCACTTCTGACAGTTTCTGGGGTGCTTTTTAAACTCCTGCCCTTCAAGAGGTCTTGTAATTCTTATTTAATGTAATGCATTATGTAACAAATTCAACAACCTGCACAAGACATTTGCTTTGTCATAAAAATCCATCAATTTTCTTTTCTGTGAAGTATCCGGTAATACAAAGCTTCCAGCAATTACATCATTCCCAGTCTTTTGACCATTGTGTTTGTATTTCCTATTTAAATGTTTTCTTTTTATGACGTAAAAGTTTACAACAAGCAGTGTTCAGTCTTTCTGGAAAAACTATAGTATAAAGCCAGTTTGCTGATGCTGCAGATGTATCAAGACAGAAAGCAAAGGCAGGTTTTAAACAACCATTTTGATACAAGCTCCATCTTTAAAAATTGACATGCTACCATTTAAGCCTTTTTCTCTACTCTTTTGAAGGCAATCTAAATACTCATAAGGAGGTATTTCATATAGAAAAAATTTGGGCAAGACCACAATCCTAGCTCCTTAAATACTTGGCATTTTTTAATGTACAAAGAAAAGTGGCTAAATTTGTTTCTGCCATAAAAGCAGTTCCATGCAAGTTAACTCCTAAAACTGCATTTTAAACTTTTATAGTCTAATGCTAGTAATTTCCTTAATCTCAGAAAACAGAACTAGCATGTTAACAAAAATGGCCTGTCATAAAATTAGCACATCTCTAATACAATGTTTCATAAAATTACCATAGAAAAATAAACTCCTGAGTTCTTTTACAGAACCTGCAAAATCCCTCTAAATCTACTACACACAAACACACAAAAATCACTGGAACTAAACTTCCAAACACAAACAATTCAATAAAACTCAGTCTAACTTGAAAAAATATATACTTGTGAAGAGTACAGTTATGAAGCTACGACAACTATAGTGTGCCTCCAACACTAAAATACAACTGTAAATAAGAAAGTACACTTTACCATCCTCATGATCTTCTAATTCAGTACTTCTATGGAAATTTACAATTGTCTTAAAATTTAAATATCTTAAGTTCTGCATTTGGTTTTTAATAAAAACTTCAGAAGAGAAGCAAGTTCAGACTGTTACGGAGATGAAATATCCGGAGGAACCTTCTGCTAACATGCCATCAGAAGGGCCAACTCTAATAACGTGGTTTTTTTTAAGTTATATAGATTAAATATATCTTTTTTTTCTAGAAGATTAACATTCCAACCAAAAACAAAAGGGAGGGCGGGATATAGAAAATTTATGTTCGTAATTAGATGACTCTTTAGGACAAAAAATAACCCTGATCAAGTAGTCTTTCCGTTCAAAGTGTGTTCATGGATAAACAGTAAAAAAATTTCCACAACGATTTCCGGTACTAGAAAAGCCACAAGAGATTGGCCCTGACTTAAGACTCAAGAGACTGATAAACTATGAGTCATCAAGTTTTCAGAATGTAGAGATGGTTCAGTGTGGGGAAGTGGGAGATTTACAGGAATGAACTGTGCATCACAAAACAACGGTTATTTATTTCTGCAGAAAACAAGTCCCCTTAAGGAAAAAAGTCAGGAGCCTGCATATCACAGTTACTTCTCATGACGTTTGCAATGGCATTAAATGGCATCAGACCAGCACGAGGCTCTTTTATGTCTGAATCACGCGCGAAACAGAGAACCAAAGAATATATGCGCGCTTAGTACGTAATTTATTTATTAAATAAACACCTATAAGCTCCTGTCCCCTCCAAATTTCTAGACGGATAACTAACTGCCTTCAGAGAACTAACCTAATTCTAGACAGAACAGCATTTGACCGATCTACCGATGTTTCGGCAGCAGACACGCAGCAAAGGGCACGTTACGCAGGATTTAAAACTCCTGGTTCCCGCCCCTTCGAGCCTGCAGCAGGACAGCACTGCCATCTACTGCTCACTGCCGCAGCACAGCCCTCCTCCAAAAAGCCTCCCTCCTCTGGCTGGAAACCACCGCCGCTCCGGAGCTGGGCCCCGGGCCGAG